TATTCAGGCCTGCAATATGGCTCAGAGGGTAAATGTGCTTGTCACAAAGCTAGATGACCTGGGTTCAATCCCCAGAACCCACACAGTAGAAGAAAAGAGCCTACTCCTGAAATTTGACCTCTGGTTTCCACTTGTACCCTGTGAACTCCCATGCACTCACATATGTAAATAAATAATTGTATTTTTTTAAGGTTTCAATTAACTGGTCTGCTGTCTCTGGGAGCTCACCATTTGGAATGTCACTCAACACTAATACATCCTTAAAGAGAAGATCAGTTTTTCAGGTTTTTCACATCTCTCATCCCTATAAAAAATAATCCATGTCAGAAGAGGAAGTACATGTTACAGACACTCTCCAGCAGCCAAGGCAGAGAAGAAAACACAAAGACATGCAAGCCTCATCCTTAATGACCTAATGACTTTGAGAGACACATGATTTGAGGTCTTGCCTTTGTAGAAAACACAAGTGAGATGAGTTCTCAGGCCTTTTTAAGAGTTGTGCTTTTAGTCAAATGTTTATTTGATTTTAGACAATAAATCTGCCAGACCAGACACAACAATGAAAGTAGCTAAAGCAAGGATTGGAGTTGAGTTAGAGGAAGCTCTGGGAGTATCAGACATAAGACTCCTGAAAGAGAACCAGGCGTTGGTGGCGCATGCATTTGATCCCAGCACTCAGGAAGCAGAGGCAGGTGGATCTCTGTGAGTTTGGGGCCAGCCTGGTCTATAGAGCTAGTTCCAGGACAGGCTCCAAAGCAATACAGAGAAACTCCATCTCTAAAAAACAAAAAAACACTTAAAAGCACTCCTGAGAGCTCTCTCTCACTCATTCACTCACATTCACACTCTCTCTCTCTCTCTCTCTCTCTCTCTCTCTCTCACACACACACACACACACACACACACACACACACGAAAAAGAAAGCACACGGGAGCTTGCACAGGACCCATTTCAGCACCATGGACAGAACAGGAGCACTTCCTCAAAGGGGCATCTGTCCAACCCCCACAGGCTGAAGGAAACCTATAGCTATAGAATTCTGTGGTACCCTGGGCCACTAAAGAGCAAACATAGAGAAGCTATGGCATCATTATTACCATTGTAGAAAAGCATACCCAACCCTGCCTTGAACAGTGGGGAGGCAGCCCAGCCTCAGAGACTAGGAAATCAATAGTGGATTGGAGGTAGCCTCCTTCCTCCCCAAATCTTAGTGTTCAGGACAGTGATGGTCTAACAAAACCACTGGGGCTACTATGTCAGCTATGAAGCTCGGATTGTGCATTGGGACTTCACTTTAAGAGCGAAATAAGAACATAAGGCAACCCATACACTCCACCACCAAGCTGAATGTTCCTCGTGAGCTGTGTCCCACACAAATTCCATTTACTTCACAAAAAAAGATTTACTATTGCCATGTGCCTGTAGAGTATGGCTACACTAATAGACACTTATCCAAAACATTGGAAGACTAGAGGAGAAAGCCAGAGAGATGGTCCCATAGTTAAAGGCACATGCAGCCCAGCATGACAACTAAGTTAGAACCCACATGGTAGGAGGTAACTGACTCTCACAAACTGTGATATTACTGTGACAAATGTGTATGTCCCTAAGTACATAAAAAGTGATTTCTTTTTAAAAATTTAAAGACTAGAAGAGTCAAGAAGATCTTAGCACACCCATTTGACATCATGAGTCACAATGTAAGAATCATGTACAAAACCTCTTATCTCCCATGCCTTTGTACTAAGTGAGACATTTCATAAAGAGATTGGCAGAATTAAGTTCTGGCTCTCCTCTTCATAATTACAACCTTGAAGAAGTAGTTTATGACATGTTCCTTTGTTTCTAGTGATAAGACCGAGATAAAAATAATAAGACATACAGAGTTGCTATTAGAACCCAGTTTTTTTTTTAACGAAGGTTTTTAACACACACCAAGTGCTCAGCATATATTAGAGCTTGTCTAACTGTGACATCCTTATGAACTACAACAGGAAAGTCATCTGAGGGCATCCATCAAATGACTTACCCTCTTGTTAACATTGTCCTTATTCTCCAATGTTTGCATGTGAAGATTCTTTAGGGTTTTGTAATTAAAAACATAAAAAGTAGGGCTGGAGAGATGGCTTAAAGGTTAAGAGAACTGACTGCTCTTCCAGAGGTCCTGAGTTCAATTCCCAGCAACCACACGGTGGCTCACAACCATCTGTAATGAGATCTGGTGCCCTCTTCTGGTGTGCAAGCATGCATGCTGGAGGAACACTATACACATAATTAATTAATTAATTACAAAACATAAAAAGCAGGAGTGTATATTTGTGTGCATGTGTACATAGATGAATAGGTAGGTAGGTAAGGAGAAGCAGAAATCCCAAAGCAGAAATCTGGGAGACTCAGACTTGTACAAAAAAACCATACCTAATTCTATGTGAGCATCAGTGACTATGAAAACCCAGTCAGAAAGCATGGTGGTGTGCAGGCAAACTTGGTGCTAGCTACGTCTTGACTAGAAGGCAGCAGGAAGTTGACTGACAGTCACACTGAGAGAAGCTTGAGCAAAAAGAAAAGACCTCAGTGCCCCCCCAGTGACATACTTCCTCCAGCAAAGCCACACCTCCTAATAGTGTTGCTTTCTCTGGGGCCACTTTCTTTCAAACCACCACATTGTAATAAGAATTACACTGTTGTATGTAGATGTTGTTTGGCAAATTTCTTCTAAGCTAAATAGTAAAGTCTAAAAAGACAGAAATTGCATTCTCTCCTTCCTCAGTCCTATCACGATGCTGAGGATGCCATAGGATTCACTCTAGTTGTTGACCCTCTCAATGGCACAATAGACTAGAAACAATCAGGTAGAAAACAGTGTACATTATAAACCTCTGCTCAGTGAAATGTATCGGTACGTGTGTGCATGTAGGTTATTCTGTGGGTTTTCCTGAAGACACATGAACAAGCATCTATTCACCTCAGATTGACAACAATGTAAAGAAATGGTGCTACTCAACTCCAGTTTGTAGAGTCGTCAAGGTTATTGGGTGACAACGTCTAAATCCATATCTCTAGAGTTCCTTGCACAACTTGCAGATGGCTCAAACTGGAAAAGGTTTCCACTCCTAGGACAGTTTCTTGATTTATTAACTTAGGGAGAAAGTTTTGAGTTATTAGCTTCCTTTGCCTAAGTCCATGAGCTGCTTGAATCCTATGAACCTGCAGGAGGGAATGTTTCGGTTCAGTGGATCTAGCCACACAGCACATGAGTATCAATGTAGGAGAATGCCACCATGGTAGAGTGGTAAGAAAAGGTGTTTGCTTTCTACTTGGTGATGTCTTAAGCATTTTGCAGTATGTGTTCTTTTCATAATGGAGAAAATTTGAAGGGAGTTGGAGAGGAAGAGTGGATGGAAAATAAAGAGGCAGTTTCCACTAAGGGTTGAAGATAACTAATAGGGTTTTCTGTGCCACTTCAGAAAAGCTCCTCTCTCCCTCTGACCATGCCACACAAGTACAGAAAGACCTCATGTACCTCCCTGCTGCCACAGATGAAAAGCTGCTGTCCTGTACCCTACCGAAAGTACACCTGAGAGATTCTACAAGGTCAAGAAAGCTCAGGGCGGATTGCCAGACTGCCCAGGCTTAGAAACCGCCCACTGGCCAGTTCTAGTCAGCCTTGGACACAAAGTCCTCACTCTGGAAGCCCCTGTGGTGCTGCTCCATGGGCATATAGTCAGCCTCAACTATGTCAAGTGCAGCATCCAGGTGGTCTCATGGGGTTTGGTCTGTCCCTTTGCCCCTCCCTGACAATGTTTTTCTATTCTGCTCTTTTCTAACATGCCTTCTCAGCCTCCCCACCTCTACCCCCAGTTTTCCGGCACCCTTTAACTTTCATCCTTCAACTATCTCTCTCCTCACAATAGTTCACTGGGGACTCAGCTTTCAGGTCTGTCCTACTGAGAGTCTAACCATACTCCATCTTCTTGTTCTATGAATTCATCTCCATGTATTTCTTTAATTGAACATCAGACCTTCCCTGGGTTCCCCAATCCCTGTGCAGGACCCTGGAGAGCACTCCAAAATAAGCACACTGCACAGGTGAGTAGAATGAAGTGTTAGACCACCTGACTACACTCCCAGCCCACCATAGGTTCATTCTCTTGTTTAATCTTGTATTGGATCAGAACCGGTTCAGGGTAAAAAGAGTGTTGTGTGTTGACTGTTTGAGGCCCAGGAGTTCTGTTCACAGAGAGTATTTACTGAGTCCACTGTGGCAGGGATGGAGCAAAAGAGCAGTCTGTCTTCTCTGTGTGCAAGCCAGGAGTATGGTGCCTGCTCAGAGGCTGGGGGATGGAGGAATGAGTTTCTTAAGGGTAGAGAGAGTCCTCACTTTAGTACAATGAGTGCTTCTGGCTATACCTGTCACAAGAACTCAAGTAGGTGAGTAAGGATGAAACCTTATCAACTCGACGTCCTTTATACCTACTACTAGTCTCCTAGAAGACCCAATTTTTGCTCTGCTCTTGGATCTGATCTGTTCCTTGAATAAAAGGCAAATGCCAGTTTCTGAAGCACCATGCAATTTATTGAGAAAGGGAAGTATAACATGTCTTCATCAAATGATCTGAAGCCCAGAAGATTAAGGTACAGATTTGCCAGGTATGAGGAGAGCTTCATAAAAACCATTTGGAAAGCTTGATCTGTGAGAAGTAGACAGCCATAATGGACTAGGCTAGACTAGAAGGCTCAAGAAATCGTAGGCGCAGGCATTGTTATCCAAATCTGGGGCCCATCACAGGGCCTTCTCCAGGAACACCATCATCCTAGACTTGTAGTAGCTGGGCCACCCGGGCCTAGGAGAAGACCCAAAGATGTAGGAGCCAGGAGTTGAGCCCCTTCTCCAAGGAACTTGAGTGAAAGCAGAGTTGCACTATGCACCTGTTGATGCCAAGCAGATGGAGGAGCGGCGCAGTTGCAGGCTGAGGCAGGGGACAGCAGGGGAGTGGGAATGCTTTACTCCTGAGCATCACTTGGAGCGTTGCTGGCTGGAACTGGTGGTCTGAGAGAAGTGGACACTGCTGCTTCCTCCTCTGCCAGACTTGTAGCTGCCGTCTATGGAGGCCTGGGTGCCCATTCCTCGCTGGCGTACAGAGACGCTGTCTTCCCTGCCAAGCCTGCTGCCAGTGCTATCCCTGCTTTGGCTGTTGCTGACACTGCTGTCCCCTCCATAGTTGCTGTTACCGGCCCCTCTGAAGCCTCCGATGCTGCTGCTGCTGCCAACTTTGGAGCCACTGCTGCTGCCACGGGTCCCTTTGAAGCCTCCAATGCTGTCGCCACGGGTCCCTCTGAAGCCTCCACTGCTGCTGCTTGTGCTGGTAACATTGCTAACCACCGCTATAGGGGGATAGACAGTTCAGGAGAAAGGCCTGGGGAGCTGGACACTGACTCTGTCTTAGACCTGCCCCGATCTGGAACTTAGAAAAGATGCTCACCACCTCTGAAGCCTTGGCTTTAGGATACTTGGTGAACGTGGCTCTCTAGTGCCTTAGCCAAGAACAAGATCCAGAGGTGTTCACAAAATTTCTGGTTCTCTAACTTAGGGCACAAGCAGAAGGGTGGAGAGCTGGGGCACAGCTTACATGAAGGGCACAGCACACAGCTGTAGCTGAGAGGTGGCTGCTGTCACAGGGATGCCTTGAGTGAATTGGGCCAAATGCCCATGGCCCATGCATACACACACGCAGAGACCAAAGAAAGATGTGCATGCCCAACTTATTCCCTTGAGATGGGATCTGAAGCTTATTAATTTAGCAAGCTGAACAGCCAATTCCCAGGATCTTATTCCTCAATCCCAGCACTAGGGCATTGCATGCACGGCCATGCCCAACGTTTAAGTGAGTAGTAGAGAATTCAAACTCAGGTCCTATACTTGTCTAGCAAAGGATTGCTGCCACTAAACCACCTCTGTTCCCCAGGGTAGACTCTTGAATGTGCTACTTACAAATGCTCACAGCATTCTGACATTCTCCAGACATCCTGAGAAGACAGAGGAGACACAGTCACTTCTTCAGAGAGTCAACAGTCAAATAACTGGGTTTATAACCTCCAATGCCACATCTTCCCATCTGCCCTCCCAGGGGTCAAGCCCTGGGACAGAAAAGGCAAGTCCTGGTTGTTTCCATCTCCGTCTCCCCCAGAGAAGGGGGCTGATTCCAGTTATAACTTGCAGCACCTCTGCCAACCACACTCCATCTCCTTCTCCTTCTCCCTGTCTTCCCACCCTAAAGATCTGTTCCAGGCAAACTGCCACCCTCTCTTGGTTGGCCACCCTCACCTCTCACCTCCTGCTAAGATGAACTTCTCTGTCTGTTCATGCCCTTCCCCTCTTTTCCATCCCTGCCTTTATTTACCCAAGTTTCCTCCTCCAGGAAACCTTTCCCAGTGAGGCTTGGGGTGGCATGGGGCTTGGGGCAGCAGCAGAGGTGGTGATGGCGGAGAAAGCTGAGATGCTGACCCTCAGTGTGTGCTGTAACATTTGAAAACTTCCCACTCACAATGCCCATCCCCTTGGGTCTGATGCTTGTCCACAGAGCATGTGCAGAAATGGAATGTTTGCATGCCCCCAGTCAGTCCCTACTGATGCCACCCCCTTCTCATCACATGGCTCTCAGTACACGTAACTCATCTTTGTTGTTTTCCACAGAGACTCATCAGAATTCCTTTTCTTCCCATGCCTGGGCTCTCCCTCCTCTGTCAGATTGGGGACTGACTGAGGGAAAAGGCTCTGAATGAAGGTGCATAGGACAGGGGTCAACAAAATGCCCCCTCAACTCTTGACACTGCCTTCACGTGTGGTACCCGTTCACTAAGCCTTCAACTGCCACTGTAAGCTGTAATATTTTTCAGGGATATGTGTATGGCAAACATTTCCCCATATGGACTCAGCTTCAGCAATGGGGATTTCAGGATTATTCACACTGAATTTCAAAAATAGAAGCCACTGACTGGCCACATGAAGCTATGTAAATTAATTTTAAATAAATATAAAACTCAAATCCTTGGTTACACTATACCCATTTCAGATGCCAGACTTTGAAGCATAACCTGCAATCCCAGCACTAAAGAGACTGGGGCATAAGAAGCAGAAGTTCAAGATCAGCGAGGACTACACAGTGAGACCCCATCTCAAAAGAAACAAAGCACAGTAGGGGGGTTGCGGAGAGAAAGAGAAGGAAGGAGGGTGAAAGGGAGGCTAATGGCCAGACTATTTTCATCTTGGAAATTTCCAGTGGACAGCCCTGGTCTATAACTTTTGTCACAACCTCAGTGCTTTTCCTACCACGTCGATGAGTAGAAGTATGTGATTCAATATTGTGCCATGATAAATTAGATAATTAAGTAATGGCGACTGGTGGAAAACAGTGAACTTCTTCTGCTGTTCTGGAGACTCCCTGACTTTTGTCTGACTCCCCCCCCCCCCACTTTTTTTTTTTTTTTTTTTTCCTTCTTCTTCTTTTCGAGACAGGGTTTCTCTGTGTAGGCTTTGTACCAGACTGGCCTCAAACTCACAGAGATTCGCCTGCCTCTGCTGAGACTAAAGGCATGTACCGCCACCACCTGGCTTTGCCCTCTCCTTTTACTATCATTTTTTTCCCTTCTCCATACCTTAGGTGGCTCTAAAACCACACTTGGAAAATGCTGACCCTATCACCCTCACCTGCACTCCTCGCCCTCCAGCAGCTTGCAGTAGGTGGCGATCTCCACATCCAGAGCCAGCTTGACATTCATCAGCTCCTGGTAGTCCCTCAGCAGCCGGGCCAGGTCATCCTTGGCCTTCTGCAGGGCAGTCTGCAAGTCTTGGAGTTTGGCATTAGCATCCTTGAGGGCAACCTCGCCTCGTTGTTCAGCTTCTGCAATGGATGTCTGCAGGTTGGCATTCTGGGGAAGAGAGAATAAAAGATGAAATCAGCATAAGACTAGGAAACAAATACCTGATTATCCTTAGGACAGGTTCTCTTCGCCCATTTATCACACCTCCTTCCCTTTCCCAGTGGCACGTGCTCACAAGTCAGGATGATGTTGCAATTTGGCTAATTCATCCTGGACCCATCGAAATCAACTCCTGACTCATGAAAAGAAACATATCTGCTTCCCTGAGCTGGTATAGGTTATCTAGTTAGCCTTTGATCTCTTTTTGCAAGACTGTTTTTTAAAAAATCCCTTCCCTGACCACTTCATTCCAGAGATACAAAGTAGCCATTTGGGGTTGTATAAAGTGTGATTTTTAAGAAACAACAAAAAGCTCCATTGTACAGTGCAGTTGACTGCTTAAAGCCAACACTGCAGTGGTCAGATTAGCTATGCAGGTCAGAATTGCAGCCCTCCCTCCTGCTGGGTCCTGAGGCATTCCAAAAAGCCCAGCCTCCATGAGAAACAGCTGGAGAGCAGAGGCTCCTGAGTCTGTGACTCCTAAAAACAGAGAAAACTGGGCAAAGGAGCTCCACTGCTGCCACACCTGCTTCTTGATGCTCTCAATCTCTGCTCGAAGTCTCTGGATCATCCTGTTGAGATCCATGATCTCGCTCTTGGTGCTCCTCAGGTCGTCCCCGTGCTTACCAGCTGTGTTCTGCAATTCCCCAAGCTGAGAGAGGAGATGGATCAGAAGGGCTTTGTAAAGTGTCGACAAAATTTTTATGAAGCTGATCAAAGTTTAATGGCCTTAGGGGTGAAGGGAAGTGTCCCACCTTGGTCTGGTAGAGAGCCTCAGCCTCAGCCTTACTCCTCTGGGCAATGTCCTCATACTGCGCCTTGACCTCAGCAATGATGCTGTCCAGGTCCAGGCAGCGGTTGTTGTCCATGGACAGGACCACAGATGTGTCACTGACGTGGCTCTGCATCTGGGACAGCTCCTATTGGGGAACATGGGTGGTCACAGATCCCAAATGATACTGGGACTTCTCTACTAGCAGAGATGTATAAGAATGCTAAAGAATGACTAAGAATTCTACTGCCTACAGAATGCCAGTAGCAAAGATAAAAGAAAAGGGCAAATTGCAAAGATTTGTCAGCCTGGAAACAGCCCGTGAACCCAAGCATGGCTTCTCCTAGGAGTGGAGGGTGGAGGGATGTTAATTTAGTAGCTGACTGTGATCCGGGACTGTAGAGTTCGGGGAAAAGAGTGGCCCTGACCCTGCAGGCAGGAAGAGCAACCTAGCCATTTCCTAGGTGGAACAGAGCTGAGTTGGAGGTCCTGTGGCTGGCTTTGAGGGTGTGCTACCACTTGACCTGCCCCCTAAAGTTGTGCTTATAAAGTTGCTGATGGCCAGTCCCTATGCAGCAAAGTGAAGAATCACCATGTCATAGAGAGTCCTCAGAAAGTTGATTTCATCTGTCAGACTGTCCACTTTAGCCTGCAGCTCCACCTTGTTCATGTAAGCAACATCCACATCCTGAAAGAGAGAGAAACCAGAAATGACCCCTGTGCCCTGCTACCCAAGCCTTCGTCTGAGCCCTCCTCTCTCTTGCTGGCCCTTCCCTAGCCCTTCTAGATGTAACATCTCACCTTGCCTTTGAAAGTACAGTACACATGTGGGCTAAATATAATCTTAATCAATGCTACACATGAGATGTCATTATTAGTTCACATTACTAATTACCTTTTAGATATAGTCAGTTTTAAAGATGAACAGCTCCCTTCAAAGATTTCCCAAGAATGTAAGGAAAGAAGGAAGCCCTGTCCACAGCAATACTCTGCTCCCTCTGTGGGACACAAAGGGATTCTGGGTCTACTCCACTACTCACTCACCTTCTTCACCCCCACAAACTCATTCTCTGCGGCCGTGCGTCTGTTGACTTCCTCTTCATACCTTGACAGAGAGAGCCACAAGTTGAGACAGTGACATTTCAGAATTGGGGAGATGACTCAGCTGTTAAACATACTGGCTGCTCTTCCTGAGATTCTGAGTTCAATTCCCAGCACCCTCATGGCAACTCAAAGTATCTATAACCTTACAGTTATCTGACACCCTTTCTGGAGTGCAGATGTCCGAAGTGGGAAAAATGAGGACCCCTGCACCACCTCAGCATTTCTTCACCCAGACAAAGGACACCTGCTTCATGGGCACATGACCTGTACAATCACACAGAGCCCACCGAGTCCTCACCCTGATATCACCATCATCTGGAGAGTCTTCAAAATTTTTTAACAAGGAGGCCATATAATAATTTTGCCAAGAACTTAAAATGACATACTACCTGGAAACTTCTCAGAGCTCAAGGTCTGCCTCTCCCTACTCCAACTCCAAGTTCAGCGCAAAGCTAAAGTGTGTATACTTGGGAGTGGATCAAGAGTCCAATTGCTTGTCTGAGCTCTTTGAACAACTTCAAAGAGTCAATGGTGGAAGAATGGGGCCTCCCAGGAGTAGTTATACCCTTCCACATAGGTCCTGACTCCTGGGGATGTCTGGAGCTCCCTCCCATCTCAGGAGGCCCTGTTCACTTCTCATGGATCTCAAGTGTGAGCTCAAATTTTGAACCTTAAGAAGGAGACAGAGCAAAGCCATAGAAGCAAAATACAAGACTCATGAATTTGCACAATACATCTCTGGACTAGGGGCCAGGAAGCACTCTGACCCAGCAGTGCCACACACCCACTGTCTCAGAATAGCAGCAACTGGAACACAGGGATATGCCTTTCTGATGACCTTCCTAAGTAATTCTGTTTGCAACCTCAAGGAAATCTTCTTGCTCATCTGGGCTGATGTAGGAGGGAAACTTTACACAGTTCCAGGAGACTGAAAATCTCATAAGGATCAGCCCACAAGCATGAGTTCCCTCTCCCCCAACTTCACTCAACAATCCAGAGGAGAGTGATGACTAAAGATGTGTTTGAAATCCCAAATGAGGCAGTTCCTCCACTGGGACCCTTACTTCTTTTTAAAGTCTTCCACCAGGTCTTGCATGTTCTTCAGCTCTCCCTCCAGGCTTCCCTTCTCCCCGAGAAGTGAATCTAACTGCTTGCGCAAGCAGCTGATGTAGGATTCAAAGAAAGGTTCCAGGCTCTGGGGGCCTGAGCCAGAGCCCGTGGCCTGCTGCTGCAGGAGGTTCCACTTGGTCTCCAGGACCTTGTTCTGCTGCTCCAAGAAGCGCACCTGCATCAAGAGAGAAAGGGAAATAGCCCTTCAGGTAGGACCTGGACTGCCCACTCCAAAGGGTAGGAAGATGTGGAACAGAGCCAGCTCCTCAATCCACAGTGACCTCAGTGTTTCAGAATTTGGAGAAGATGCAGATTAGAAAGGGGAGAGCTAGTGTGTATAGAGTACTTTGTAACCCTCCCATTTTCGTGTATCCCATGTCCCTTCATTCTTATAACCACCTGAACAGCATTAAATTATCAAAAACAAGATGCATACAGAATTGCAAAGTGAAGAGCCAAACCCAGGACTACTCTCGGTCTATTGGAACCCTTCAAAACATGGCTAACACAATTTTTAGCTGGGCCTTTAGACATAAGCTGCTTTCCCTTCCATTAAGGTAGTAAAATCAGCCAGTGTATCCAGAAATTCAGCTTGCAGCCCACCAAGGCTCACTCCAAATCCTGGGCTCTCTGTGCCTTGGACCCAGCAAGCCTTGCTCTACCTGATCATGGACAGTTCAGCTTACCATTGGCAGAGGCACACTATCACTGGGAAGGTACAGTGCCGCTAAGGATATGAGAAGCAGCCCCAAGATTTTGCAGAGTTAGTTAGCTGCTAAATAAAAGCAATTGCTTGTCAACGAGAAAGTAAGCTATTCTGGGGTTTGTGGCTGGATTTTTCAGAACTAAAAGCGCACTGGACCCCTCAACATGCTGGCCCTAGCCTCATCACTAGAAGGAAATTAAAACCGGAGATCCTTCCCTCCTTCCACAATTGGAATGCAAGGACACAAAGAACAAGAAAGGTGTGCTCACTGCCCTGAAGGTAGTAAGATAGAACAGGCCAAGTGCCAGAAATCCCACTAGCAACTTTGGGTACAATCTCCTCGAAGCCCAAATACCCCACAATGCCTCTGGGCTCTGGCCTTACCTTGTCGATGAAGGAGGCAAACTTGTTGTTGAGTGTCTTGATCTGTTCACGCTCCTGGGCCTTCACTTGACCAATCTGGGGGTCAATCTCCACATTGAGGGGCTGCAGGAGGCTCTGATTGATGGTCACTTCCTGGATTCCCCCAGGGCAGCTACCAGGGCCAAAGCCACCAGGCCTACCAAAGCCACTGGATCCTCCAAATCCAGAAGCTCCCCCAAAGCCACCTCCCATTCCTCTGCTACCACCAAAGCCACCTCCATAGCCACCTCCAAAGCCACTGCCACAACTGCCATAGCCTCCGCCGAAGCCACCAGTCTGGGAGCCTCCAGCTGCCACACTAATAGAGATACTCCTGCTGCCACCCAGGTTGTAGAGGCTCTGACTGCCAAAGCTACCAGCTCCACTCCGGAACCCACAAGCCCCTCCACCAGCTGCCCTAGTGCGGGCCACACAACTCCTCCTGCTGCTGCCAGATACCACAGCCGAGTGGCCGGAGAAGCCCTGGCTCCCGCAGCTGAAGGACTGCTTGCACGCTTGTCTGCTCATGATGAGGAGTGTGGCAGTGGACTGGCAATCACTTAGCAGAGCAAAGGGCTGCAGAGAGGATAGGGATGACAGAAGAAGCTGGCCTTTATACTCCAGGCTGCTTGACTTGGCAGAAGGAGAGGCAAGCAATTACCTGAGAGTCATCTCGGGTTTGGTTTGCCTTACAGGCAATAAGTTACTTCTTGGTTCCCAGCACACCTCAAAGATAATCCCCTGGGCCAAAATGCCTTTGCTTTCTTAGCTTAATCACCCAAACTTGCCTCAGTTGACAGAAGGCAGGCCCTCTCCTCCCTCCCAACATGTGATTTCCTCAAGAGTTTCAGAAAGTTAAGCAGAACCCATTATAGCAGGATAAACTGGCTCTAGACCCCAAGGGCTTAGGGGCTCTTGACCTCCGTGACCCCATCAGCCTCTCCCAGGAAACTGAGTTCCAGACCTAAATTCAATGGATGGCTGCTATGAGCCAGGTCCTGTGGCACTCCCTTAGTGCCCATGCTATTATTCTCATTAGTAGACATTGTCTTCTCACGGCATGTCACCTGTGCCCTATGTTTCAGGGAACACCTAGAGTGGTGGTAAGAACACAGGGTCCAGTCTGCTCCCTCTGTAATCAAAAGCTTCCGTCTCAGCAGACCCAGAGTTTGAGGAGAAACATGTTAGTTGTGAAAAAGGAATTAAAGTAGAGCCAAAGTGTCTAGTCTCTGGGGAATGGAAGTCCAAGGTTTGAAGCCAAGAAGTGTGAGGCTAGGGAGAGGAGAAGGACTCAGAGAAGGCCTGCCCCCACCATCCTAAGGTCTCAGGGTAGGCCCTACCCCCACCATCCTAGACCAGTAGCTGGTGGATACTGGATCCACAAGCAAGACAGAACAAAATACAGAGACTACTCAGCTAGATAGTAGAGTCTCTTCAAGGACCTCACTCATCCTGGAATAAGAATATGTGCACACCTTAGTAGCCACGAAGATATGAGCATTGGGACCTCCTTCCCCCTCTGCCATCTGGTCTGGTCGGTATCTCCAACTATTCATATGCCAGCACCCCTCTAGGCTCTGATTTCCCCTGTGGAAGAACTTGATTTCTACTACTCTGCCTATCCAGCCCCTAGGACACCACAAAGGATCAGCTGACTCAAGACTTGAGGTCCAAGATCACAAACACCTAGACCTATTCCCGTGCAGAGGAAGTTTGGGTATCTGTATAACAAGCATCCCTATAAAACCTTTGGATCCTGGCCACTTAGGAGGCCCTCATCTAGGCTGGAATGTCTTGCGCCTTTGCTACTTGCAGGCTGCTTTTTGCTGGAGACATTTTTACATGACTCAGGGTGTAAAGATAGATACAGTAGATACATATATCAAACTTTTAGTAATAAATCATAAAGAAATTTATTTTTTGTTTTTTATAATTTATTTAACTTTATTTTATGTGCATCAATTTGTGAGCTGCCATGTAGATGTTAGGAATTGAACCCAGTCTTCTGGGAGAAAGAATATCCAGTGCTCTTAACCGCTAAGCCATCTCTCCAGCCCCAAGAAATTTATTTTTAAGACAATTGCTTAGTAAACATATAATCTTACCATGTGTTAAAGGTTAAAGTAAATTTGCATGCTAATAAGATGAATAAGGCTATTTACATATGCAAGTGTGTATATGCATATTTATAAAGAGTTAAATCTCGGCTAAACATTTGATGCTGCAGGACACAGAGCATCTACAATGTTTTCCAGAGTTGACTGGTATTTTGGTTTTTTATAATCATCAATGCTGAGACCGCCACTTCACATAAACACACAGCACAAAACGAGAGGAGACTATGTGGAGCCATTTCAGAGATTTTGGCAATTCTGCCCTCATCATGACCCAAAAGTCAACGAATGGTGCTTTATGAAGCTCAAGTCAGCAATTCAAACATGAATTTTTAAATCAAACATTTTAACATAATACAACAAAGATAAACTCATTTCCTATGTGCATGCTGAGGAATGGTGGTGGGAAAATATTTAAAGTGGTTGTTTTCCATAATTCAACTGTGATGTTTCTACAAAAGCAGAAAGCTTTCTAAGTATTGTAAAAATACTGCAAACTGTGACGAGCAAGAGCCTCGAATCTGAATCTTAGTGCTTTGGGCTGCATCCTTTGGTGTTGTGTGATATGATGACATGCACAGTGCAACACGCTCAGGGTGTGTGTTGAGAGTTAGACTGTAGTGAGGTCCACAGTGCAGCACTGGGGAATGCTGCCAGAAACAGCTCAGACTCATTTAGTGTTCTGCTTTTAACAATTTTTTTAGTCATTGTGCTTTCAGAAACCCTTCATTGCCAAAATTTTCATGACCCCCATATTCAGTCACCGAACCCCATATCAGGTGGTAATCTTCACTTAAAAATAAAAGCTCAGATCAAGTTCTATCTGGGCCAGCAGTAGGGGATAAAGGACCCTTGATGACAAGACAGGTATACCCATGAAGGGCTATTCTAACTCCAAGTAACTCTGCTGTCACCCCACATCATACTACCCCACCTTCACACTCAGCCATCACACACGCAGTGCAGCCATGCTTTCCAGGTGGTACCCCCGTACCACACTTACGTGGCATGACAGCAGCAGGAGAGTGACGACTCTAGACTTGACTTCGCCACAAAGGAGCTGTGTGAATTATCTGCAGGATTCCAACCCAGCTGGTAGCAATGGGATGGTCTGAGAACAGGCAGAAGACTGGTCAGAAGGCAGAAAGACCGAAGTCAAGGGCCCTGCCAACATCCCTCACTCCTGTGCTCCCCAGTTCATATGAGCCATCTGCCTGGCTGGATCCCAGCTTCATCTCTTGCTGTCTCCTTGATCTAAGGAAATTTACCTTTGTGTGTTCAGTTCTGTCAACTGTAAAATGAGGCTAATAATGCCAACTACTTTATGGGGATTTTGTGAGCAGTAAACAAGTTACATATAAAGTGTTTGGTGTGGAGATCAGCAAGGTGTCTCAGCAGGCAAAGGTACTTTGCCAAGTTTGATGATCCGAGCTCAACCCCTGGGGAGAACCAGATTCCATGAGTGCTCCTCTGACACCCCTACATGTCTATGTGCACACAAACCCTAAATGAACAAATAAAACAATTTTTTTGTTTTGTGTAGAGCTGGACACATAAAAAATGCTATCGGATTAGCTACTGTTAGTATTCTCCAGGCTATGTTCTGCCTGGGTGATAAGATAACTTTGAGGTCCATCAAGAGGTGAGAATGGGAAAGAAAGTCAGTAATGAGCAGAAGAAAGCCCACTGGCATGGAGGAGACCTACACCAGAAGCTGTTGGTCTTGGGCCATGATTCAACACCATAAATCTGTCCTAATCTGTCAAACACTTGCCTGCCTCTCTGATTTGTGGTGAGTCCCATATCATGTAATGAAACTAAAAATACCTTGAAAAGGATAAAATGCCACCCAGTCTTCCGGAAAGCCTGTCAGAGCTGAATTCAAATCCTCTCACCCTGTAGTGACCTTGAACAAGGTACTTGGCATTTCTTTCCTTATTTATAAAAAGAAACATCTACCCCAATTGAGAAATGGTTTTGCAATTGATAATGCATAGTTTCCAGCAATAAATATTTGGATTTAAGGGTGGAGGCTGGGAACAGAACCTAGGGTGCTGCAGACATATGTTAGACAACTGAACTACTAAGAGATGGGTGAGAATTTTGAGAAAGTATCTCATCCGATTGCCCAGGTGACTTTGAATTTACTCTGTAACCCAGGCTGTCTTTGAGGTTACCATCCTCCTGCCTCAGCCTCCTGAGTAGATTTGACTTACAGGTCTGCACCTGTGACAGTCACCCGTGGAAACACAAGGGGGCTATGTAAGGCTCACAGCACCTACCCCCTGGATGCCAAGCCCTGCCCCTCCTGTGAGGTTTTTATTCACATTGAAAGTAGAAAAAGGACAGTTGAAGGACAAGTTACTGGGGGAAAGGATTTCTATTTTTGTTTCCACAGAAAATGAAAAGATGTGGATTCCTTCCAGACTAATGTGGTTTGATCAAGCCAGACTGCCTGAAACAGAGTACCAGGTGATCCTACATTCAAAACAGCTGGACCAAGCAGCCTTACAGACTACAACCAGGACTTCTGAATCTTCTTCGAATCCCCCATGACAGCGCCCCTTACCAGCAGGAAGTAGTTTGGAAAGAACAACGCCCAAATTCCCAAATATTGTCTATAAATGTTTGTTTTCATTTAAATGGATTTGGTTATATAAAATAAATTTAAAAAAAAAAAAGTAGAAGATCCCATGCCCTGCCTGGGATGAAAGCTGAGTCAGGCTTCCCTGAAGCCACAGGTGAGCATCTGAAAGAGCAAGGACAGCCCTCGGTGTCTCCTATGTCCTCCCCTCTCTGGACTCCAGCACCAAAGCAACAAGGGTGAGCCTCCTAAGTGTGGCCATTGCTGCCACCCTGGTGACAATGGGCAGATCACAAGGGCCTGTGTCTAGCTGGGATCTCCCAATCCGTGCTCCTTGAGCCTGCCAGTGCATTATCACCTTGCCTGGCAAGTTAGAATTGTTTTCCCAACAGCTCGATGAAGTTGCCAAGACTATCCAGAGTTGCCACGCTTGGCACTAGTTTCCTTATTTGCTGTAGGATCTGGTAGAGGAGTGTCTGAATGGCTTGACTACTGCCGGCAGCCTGAGTTCTAATCCCTCACATGCCAAGATCTTCTGTAAAAAGATTATCATGCAGCTGAGCACTCTGAACTCTTACTCCCCACCCATAAAACAGGAAGAATTTGTTCCCGGGTAGTTATTTAACCAAATTGTTCTCTGGTATTCCCCTGCAATGAAGAGGCTTAAGAGGTGTCACGATAATTGTGGGTGGGGGAATAATGTGAAAGACAGTAGTCATCACCTCTAAGGTCAAGGTGAGCAGGCAGCCCTCTCCACCTCAGGGCCTGCTGAAGGGGGGCGGGTTATCTTTTTAAATGTGTAGAACCATGGATCCATTTCAGAAGAGTCA